CTTTGCATTACCAGAAAGAAGACTTTAGTAGGAACGTCCCCACTGCCACTGGCCTTGGCGTCTTCACCTATGTTACCTTCAGGAAAGTTGTCTTGTCTCCCTGATAATTCTGGGGAGATAGGTCTGAGAATGGGAATGAGAATTCTGGATCAAGGTTTGGACAGAGTGGGAATGGAGGCTACTTGTGGCCACAGCTGGGATCAGGGCTACTGACTGGGAGGTCTTTGAAGGCAGGAATGGGGTCTCATTCATCCTTGAATGCTCAGTGCCTAGCATGGCATCCTGCACACAGTAAGCACTTATCATTGTCAATAAACTGAACAGGAAACAGTGGATCCTCATCATAATAATATCCAATATTTGTTAAGGGCTTGCCATAAACCAGGGACTATGCTAAGTCCAGCCCCATGAGGTTAAGTAACTTGCCCAAGGTCAAGCAGCTAAATGTGTGGTGAGGTTGGGATCTGACCGCTGGCCTGTGGCCCCAGTACCTGCACACCTAACCACTACACAATACTGCCAATTGTGGGGCTGCTCAGGGGAAAGACAGGGGCGAGGATGGCACATCGCTAGACTCTCCATCAGGTGAATGGAAGGTGGGTGGCCATGGTCCGGGGGCGGGTCAGGCAGCTCTTCACCTGGGAAATACGCAGAAGTCAGGTGAGCAGCCTCCCTTCCTGGAGTGCCTCACCAAAGGCACTGCATGGGTTTTGGTCTGGCTTTCCCCTCCTAGGTTACACGGGTCCTACGAGAACCTGCACAACGGCCACCTCCCTGATGCCCTAGTGGACCTCACAGGAGGGGTGGTCACCAGCATCGACCTGCACTCCTCCCGTTCCAACCTGGTAATGATGGTGAAGACAGCTGCCAAGGCGGGATCCCTGATGGCCTGTGGTACCCCAGTGGGGGTGAGTAGAACACGAATCCCTTTAAACTGGTTCAAGCCTGGCCCATTCAGCGAGGAAGGGAAGTGGCCAAGCAACTGTCAGGGAGCCCCGATACTGCACTTTATTGAGGCCATGCCATTTCACCCTCATAACAGCCCTCCCTCTGAGATAGGAATCACAGAATTCACTTACAGAGGAGGATGGGCTCAGAGGGGCCACATAAAATGTTCCCCATCACANCTCTTTGATATATGTAATGCTTGTGGGCCTTGAATTCCCCTTTATCTGATATTCATATTGCTACCCCAGCTTCCTATTATTTGCATATCCCTGTTCTGTCTTTGCTTATCTCTTCATTATCAATTTCATTGTCATGTTATAAGTATGTTCCTTGTACAAAACATATTTAAAACTCATTGTTCACTATTATTTATTTCACCCTTCATTTCCCCTTAAGACTTTTGTTCTAATTTCATTTTCATTAGGTAGGAGTAGTCCCTTGAATGATTTCCTCAGATTACATGAGTGTTGTTCATTTGCTCTTACCTAAGAAAGATTTTTGGTTGGGTTTAGGATTCTTGGATTACATCCCCTTTCCTCAGGAGTCTATAAACCTTATTTCATTGTCTTATAGCTTCCGATGTTACAGAAGAAAAATCCAATGCTAATCTATGCTCTTGACTTTGTATGCAATGTGTTCTTTCAGACTGCAATTTTATAAGAGGTTATCTCTCCTTAGTGTTTAGAAATTTCTTTGGAATATGTCCAGATTATGCCTTTTTAAAGTTAATCTTTTCTGGAATTCAATGAGCCCTTCCATTCTGAAACCCTGCCTCCTTTTTCTGCTCAAATTTCTCTCTGTTTTTTCCAGATATCCTCCTTTATCCTGTTTTCTCTTCCTGCAGTCCAATTATTTGCATATGAGGTCTTCTAACAAGTGCTCAGGTGACACTGATGTTGCTGGTCCAAGGATCACACTGAGGAATGAACTAGAGGATGCAGGGCTCAGCTGTGTGTGAGCTCACTTCAGGGCTGCAAGTGTTGGTGGAGTGATAGGTGGTTAGGACAACCTGTGACCCCGGCAGGACACACTCTGTCCTCCTGGGTGTTGAAGAAAGTCCCATAGTTCCCTAGAAACAGCTGCAGTGCTGACCTTCGTACATCTCTTCTCATCAGTCTGAGCTTGGGCACTGCTCTCTGGAAAGGGCCCAGTGCCCATGCAACTTGGATGCTTTGCCCAAGACACTTCTGGTTTCCATCAGACACTTGGGTGTTGACAAAATGGCACCAGCATGCTTTTTGGAGGGTGCAGACATTATCCAGATGCCAGTCCTCCTCACCCAGAGAGGTGAACTAGCTCTCTGACCTCATTCTAGACCACTAGTTAGGCCATTTGCATCCTGTCTGGGGACAATGATTCTATGTGATATTCCCTTTGTATAGGAAGAGCAAGTTTGGTGGGGGAAGATGGAGGTGAGGGTAATTTCTAAGGGGGAACCAACCAAAGGAGCTCATTGGAGCCAGGACTCACCCATTCTTGATGGCCTACTCTGCACCAGGAACTATCCTAGGTGCTGATCAAAAAGGCTAACAAAAAACAGTTCCTATTTTCAAACTATAATATTGCTTTCACAATCTCATCTGATCCCAATCACAGCCCTATGAGGCAGTTCTTACTCTTACCACCATTGGACAGATGAGGAAACTGAGTCACAGAACATTAAGTGTCTTACCCAATGTCTGTTGCTCAGATAACTAAAGGCAAAACCAGGACTCGAGCACAGTTCTACTGACAATACTGTGCACTACAATTTGCTATTCCCTTAAATCCTAATCCAGATTGGGCTGTCATTCCAGTACCCCTTTCTGGAAGCTGGGATTAGCTTTCCTTTGTGCTTCAGCCACATTTCATGATCTCCCCCAATAGCATCCCAGCTGGCTGTCGACCTCACCTGCCTATGTGTATTACTGCAATAGGGACACAAATCTACAGCTGCCCTGGAACCAGCTGCAATGCTCTGGTCCTTCAGTGACCGTGAAAACACCTTCTTTGCTTTGTTTCCACTGACATCTCTGTCTTGGTCATCATCTCTGCTTTAAAAATATGTCTTTAGCTGATGCAATAGCCCGACATCTGGGACATCCAGCTGTAAAAAAGGCCATGGGGATGGCTTCCTGTCACCGCTGAGCAGATGATAGATTGCATCCTCCCAGCTTTATTCCAGACCCACCTGTCAGAGACTTGCCTTCGTCAAGGTTCAGGCCTGAAGCTGGAAGCCCTGCAGCTTCTCCAGCACAGGGGAGACCAGCGAACGAAGTCCAAAAGGCTGGCTTTGTTATGAATTTTCTTCATTTGGCGATGTCCCGGGTGAACCATTAAGAGTTGAATGCTGAAGATTAAAACAGTCTGTTTTGGAGAGGAACATCTGCTTCATTTGCGCTCTTAGCAGTAGCAGTGCCAGCCGGTTTCATTTCTGCTCCTCTGATGGTAGAGCCAGAGTAAGGCTGTAACTGCTCCGTCCTCCTGAGCACTTCTCATCACTCAGCCTCCAGGCCTTTGCCCATGCTGTCCCTGCCATCTGGGATGTCTTCCCTATCTCCTCTCCACCTGCTTAAGCCCAGCCTCCTCCCTCAAGCCTTCAGCTCCCAGCAGGCTCTCCTTTCCCCAGGAGAGCACCTATATCTGCCATTGCCCATTGTTACTCTGCGTCTGCTTCCCCTGCTGCCATTTTGTGCGCAAGCTGTACCTGGAGAGTCTCATATTTGGAGCTCACAAAGGACTTGCCAAAGTGAGGCCAGAGTAAGTAGCAAAGTCCAACTAAAACCCAAGTCTCCTTCTTTTCTGCTAATATTTTCCTTGACTGACTTGGTCTGTGACTCACTATTTCCATCTGCCAGTGAAGATGACATGCCCATCCTCTATCCATCAACATGGGATGAGATTTGTTCTGGATGGAGTTCATTTATGCATCGTGGGGGTTGCATGGTGACGGTCGTTATCTTTTGGCATGGATTGAGGGTCCAGGAGTTTCCTCCTGCCCCAGTTGTACTGAGCTATATATTCATCTCTCTTCCAGTTCTGGAAGTGTGGCCATTGGGTGGAAGTGGTGGTTGATGATCGCCTCCCTGTAGGGGACAATGGGTGCCTCTTCGTGCATCCTTTCTACAGGAACCACGAGTTTTGGCCCTGCCTGCTGGAGAAAGCTTATGCCAAGTAAGGATGGGTCTGCCCTTCAGCCCAGGGCCTTGATGCTGGCCCTGCCTGTCAGCTGCTTGCCCTGACAGATGCTCCCCACCAGCCGGCCCTGAGATTTGGGGCAGCTTTGCTGAATGCAAGGGATGCCCCTGGGAGCATCAGAACCTTTGCCACCTAGCTGGACATCCTCCATAAACAATTGCTGTGTGCAAGGCTGTGTTCAGGCTGTTGGGAAGGACCCAGAGGCACTTAGCAAGGGGTGGGCCTGGCAGGGCTGGACAGAGATATGCACTGACAATGGTATTATTGCAAGGGCTGGTATAAGGGCCCAAATAAAATATAATATCATGGTCATAGTTGGCTGAGAGTGCAGAAGAAAGAAAATAATTCTGACTTTCAAACTCACAGAGTCAGGCTGAGGCTATACAGAGAAGATGCATTGAGTAAGGCCTTGAAAGATGGATAGACTTTAGCAGGGGCAGAGGAGATATGTGGGGGAGGCATCCCCAACAATGGGGATAAATTGAGCAGAGACCTAGAAGTAGGAAGGCTCAAAGTGAGGTTGGGGCAGTGGGGACCTGATGTAGCTGCTATGAGATTGTATTTATATGGGGGGTGCAGGACAGGATTTACTTGTTATCATATGGGCCAAACACTGTGATTCAGGGGCTATCTTCTGGTGTTGACAAACTGAAGGACTATAAACACTGTAATTCACAGGTTGCTTTTACTCAACAGATGTTTACTGAGCATTTAAGCATAGGCCAGGCACTGTGCTTGGCACTAGATAGAAACTCTCAGACTGGCTCAAGTGGGTGTGTGCAAGTGTGTGTGTGTCTCTGTGTGTGTGTGTGTGTGTGTGTGTGTGTGTGTGTGTGTGTGTGTGTGTGTGAAGTCCCTGTCATAAAGACCCACACAGGTGAGGGGCACATCAGAGTTAGAAATCAACACTAGGAGACAAAAAGACAGAGGACCACCCCTTCTGGGAGAAAATGGATAGTGAAGAGTGTTACTGAATCAGATTTCCCAAAGATTGTTCTAACCAACCCCTCATTTTACAAAAGGGGATGCCAACGCTTTGAATAGTGATGTGATGGCAGGAGTAAGTGTCTAGCCTGAATCTGCTGAGGTCTTCAGTCATTTTATCAGGGGGCCTCATTTAGCAAGACCGAAGACCCTGCCCATCCTGTCCTGGGCCCTGAAGAGCGGTGATAACCCCACAGACTACCCAAGCCCCTGTCCTTATGGAGGTCAAAATCTGAACAGCAAGACATCTCAAGACCTCCTCTATTTTACATTCTTCCTTTTGAGGCAACTTGTAAAAAACTCAAGCAGTTGCTCATTTCCAGTATCAAGAAGAGCTGTTCATTAACATTTGAGAATGAAGCCCAGATAACAGTCAAGGTTGTTGAACCAATCCATATGTTTGGGGAGGTTAATTCACATCTAAGCTACTTACACAAACACTACCATTATCCTTCCAGTATGGAGTCAGGCCTCACCACTTCAGGGCCTTGTTTTTTCCTGTGTGAAAGGTGGGGGAGCCTGGCAGCTCACTGGGAGAATTAGAAAGCTTGCAGAATGAAATGATGACTCTGACCCCATTTGTTAACAGCTGACCTAAGGCAATCATTCAGCTTGAAAAGAAATGGGAAACTGGACCGGGAATCCACATTCCACTGCCTAGAGAAATCTAACAGAGGATAAAATGTTTCAAACTATTAAGCTGTTTAAAAGCTTTTCCCTTCATCTAAAGAAGGAAGTTATAAAATGCAGGAATGAATCAAATCGAATTATAGCATATCAGAGCTGGAAGCAACCACTGTCAGCATCAAACCTTACCTTTCTTTTTTGAGATATGAGGAAACTGAGGCTCAGAATGGTGAAATGACTTTCCCAAGGTCACAGGGAGTTTGAGGCCAAGCTGGAATGATAACTATTCTCCCTAGTCATGTGCTTTCCCTTCATTCCTCCATACTGTCAGTCCTGTTGGAAAAGGATTTGCCGTCTTGTTTCTGTGGAACTCAGTAGGGACCACAGCACAGACATGGAGAACCCAGCCATCCAGCTGGAGATGGCCTTCTTTCCCTCTGCGTGTGTAGGCAATACCGAGGGAACCTGTGGACTTTAAACTTTCAACTGTCCTCATAGCTGGAGAGTCTGGAAATGCATTGGTCAAGGCAATCAGATGTGCGTATGTTGAGGGGGCAGGGGAATCTATGTTTTCAGAGTTTTCTCCCCTGATGTCCTAAAATAGAGAGGAGGTTGGGGGATACGATCTGGTAGGTTGTATATTATCCTCATCCGCAGTTAAGAATTGCAGCATTTCAACATCCTTTCTGGCTCTGATTTGGACATCGGAATTCTTCCCTCATTCATATCATTTCTGGAAAGACGGACATTTTCCCTAAATGACTCTGATGCAGAGGGATGAGAACAAGTTTCTCTCAGAATTCCTGGGTTCAGGTGACACAGCATAGTGACAGGTATGGGGAACATAGTTCTCTCTGTTTCCTTCCCTTTCTATCTCCTGTCAGCAAAGGGGGCTAAGAATAGCTGCCATGTTCCTGAAGCATCAACAGGACTCATGAGCTTATGTTTGTAAAGTAGAGAGATAGCTCCTTCTCAAACCATCCAGCTGCCTCCAGGACAGGCTTTGTGGGCATGGCAGAGAGACAGTGGCAGAGAGAAGTCTGTGGAGAGGGGCTGCTGGCCGCGGGTCCTGTCCCTTGCTTTGGGTGTCTGTGTGGTGACTGCAGAACAGTGTAGGTACAAGACATCAGATGAGGCCCACAGACAGCGAGGCAGGGGGCCAGAAGTGATGGGCCCAAGCCTGGCAGCTGCTTCTCTGGAATGGCTCTGGTACAGCCTTCTTTGAAGCCAGAGAGAACCCCTGAGTGAATCACCAGGTGGTCATGCTGATGGGCTCAGAAATGGGCTCCAGAACTCTAGTCTTTGTGAACGTCCAGTGTCCTCAGCACCAGAAACCAGAATAACTGTGGGAAATCAAGAAAGGCAGACACTCAGACACAGCAGGGCATAATCATGATCAAAGGTAGGCTTCGTGGTTGACAAAGCAAACACCCCAGAGATAAGAGTGTAGTACCTGGCGTGACCCTGTGTCAGAGAGAGGGAGGGAGAGATAAGATCTAAAACCAGTTTGATAACAAGTTGAGACCAGTCACAAGGTTGATCCTGTAGAATGACTTTTGTTCTGTATACCCTTAGCTTTCTTTAATAAAAGACTTTCTAAGCCATACATGACATTTGTGCCTGGGACGGTGACCTGCTTATAGTGGCTGCTTGATATATTTATGTTTGCTGGGTGAATTTACATGAAGACAGCCCCCAGAGCTGATCCAGTCAACCTCACCGTTTCCAGGTGAAAGGCTGAGGACCAGGAAGGGAAGAGTCTTGTCTAAACTTGCAGGCCCCACTAGAGGCAGCTGCATGGATAGACCCAGGCCTCTGACCCCCCTGTGGCTTTGCATTACCAGAAAGAAGACTTTAGTAGGAACGTCCCCACTGCCACTGGCCTTGGCGTCTTCACCTATGTTACCTTCAGGAAAGTTGTCTTGTCTCCCTGATAATTCTGGGGAGATAGGTCTGAGAATGGGAATG